TTGAGCGATGTCTGCGTACGCTTCATCGTTCACTCCAAACATTGAAGTTAGTAGTAGTAGTAGTACGGTTGGGTAGGCTCGAAGCCTAACAATTAGACTCTATGGTCCTTTTTATCTGCCCCTCCTAAACCAACCAAACTACTCCTCATCTTCCTCTTCGCCCATACCAGCCCTTTCGAATCTTCCAGACCTTCTTATAAAGGTCAGGATATCCTGCCAGGCAAGAGAGGCCAACTCTTCCCTTTGGAGTGTCATCACTCCAAAGATTTTATACCTTAGTCTGCCGAGGGCCTCACATTGTCCCAGGAAGTGAAAGGAGGTTTCATCCTTCCTTCCGCATTGGGTACAGGAGGGGCTGGTTTCAGCCCCTATTCTCGTGAGGTGTTTCCTTAGGCCATGACCCGTGAGTATGTTCACAAGTGGGCCCAAGGAGGTTCGGCTTCTACCTAGAAGCCAGATGGATTTGGGTTTGCTTAGGGTGACCAGGAAATCCCTGGTCTGCCTACAGCCACCGCTTCTTCTCCAGCTTTCGTTCGCCCTTTTATCAGCCCAATTATTTAGGGCTGATTTGACCTGCTTTCTCGTAATTCCAAAAATTGGTTCGGGTCCTACACAGGGGGTTTCAGATCCCAATCTGGCCAACTCATCAGCCCGTTCGTTACCTTCCACCCCACTATGACCTGGTACCAATACGAGATGCACTCTTTTTGTACTTGCCAGCTTTTCCAGCGCTTCCTCACACTCTTGAACCAACTTCGATGTGGTTCTCGCTGCCCAAAGCGCTTTCAGAGCTGCTTGGCTATCTGAGCAGATGTATATATCTGTCTCACTCCCTGTTCTTATATCCTCACAGTTTGCAACCTCAAGTATGGCAAACACTTCCGCTTGAAAGACAGTGGTATATCCTCCGAGCGGGTAGCTCCTTTGGATATCCCTGTCTTTCACGTAAAAACCTGCCCCTGAAGACAGTGTACTCGCCATACGAGAGCCATCAGTGTAGCACACTAGTGCATTTTGTGCAAAGTGTACATCCTTTTTCTTCCACTGCTCTCTTGTTGGTATCTTGAGGGAAAACTTCTTTTTTAAACTTAAGCGGTCTTTTGCTGGCATCGTTCTAATACTGCTAATTGGGACCTCCCTCTCAGCCATATCCGCGATGCCCTCATGACCATAAGTTATTCCTTTTCCTAACCAATTATTGGCATCCCTCATCCTTAAATGGCTCGCCATTGCTTCTCTCTTTATCCAGAGGGAAAGACTAGGCAAGCTCAGCAAGGCCTCTAATGCCGTCGTTGGAGTAGTCCTCATTGCGCCTGTGATACCGAGACATGCCAGTATCTGTATCTTGCTCAGTTTTTGAGCGATGGTGGTTTTGCTCACACTGCGCCACCAGACCACTGATCCATAATGTATCCGCGGTCTGATGACAGCAGTATAAATCCAGTGAAGGACTTTGGGATTTACTCCCCAGCGTTTTCCCACCACCCGGCGCAGCTGCCAGAAAGTTGCAATCGATTTGTCAACAACTTTGTCGACGTGTGATTTCTAACTTAACTTCCTATCTAGGGTAACACCTAGGTACTTGACCTCTTCAGTAATCTCAAGAGGTTTTCCATACATAGCTGGTGCCCTGAAGTCCTGTATCTTCCTTCGTTTGGTAAAAAGAATCATGTCAGTTTTTGTTGGGTTAACCGACAGACCATTTTCTTTGCACCAATTTTCTATTATTCTGCATGCTGTCTGCATTCTGTCGCAGACTACACCTAGAATGCCTCCTCTGATTAGGACTGTACCATCATCTGCATATGCTTGTGCATACAGCCCTTCAACCGTCAGTCTCTCCAGAAGTCCATCGATTATTAAACACAATAGGTGGGGTGATAGGCAGCCGCCTTGTGGGCAGCCGCCCCTCACACCGATGTCCAAATGGCAGGCTCCCAGAGATGCACTGACCTGCCTCTCCTCCAGTGAGGATTTAACCCAACTAACCAGGACTGGGGGAGTGCCTCTGGCTTGTAGCGCTTCACAGATTGTAGATGTCCTCGCCTTATCAAAAGCCCCCTCTACATCAAAGAAAACAGCTAGTGCCATTTCCTTGTAGTGCAGTGCCTTTTCGACTCTATGCACTATAGAATGAAGAGCCGTTTCGGTCGACCTTCCATTTCTATAGGCATGTTGATTCTTATGGAATGGGTACCTTTTCAGCACCCCTTCTTGCAGGTACCGGTCCACAATCCTTTCTAATGTTTTAAAAAGAAAGGATGTTAGGCTTATTGGCCTGAAGGACTTTGCAGCCGAGTAGTCTTTTTTCCCTGCTTTGGGTATGAAGACCACTTTAGCTGCCCTCCAGGCTCTTGGGACATATCCCAGTGCCAGACTGGCTCGGAATATTCGTTCTATTCTTGGAAGAAGAATCTCCAAGCCTCTCTGTAGCAATGCTGGGAATATTCCATCCGGTCCTGCTGCCTTGTATGGATCGAACGCATTTACTGCCCATTCCACCGATCCCTCCTTCACAACGTCTTTGGCAAGGCCCAAGTCCCAGGTAAGGATCTCTGGCCCCTCCGTTGTTGACGTGAGGGAAGGAGTTTCGCCGGGGAAGTGCGTTTCCAGGAGATGTCTTAGGGACTCTTCACTGGTGTTCGTCCACGATCCATCCAACCTTCTTAGGATTCCTACATTCCTTTTTGAGTCCCAGCTAAGGATCTTCATCAGCCTGGTTGACTCCTGAAGTGACTCTACAGTTCCACAGTATGTCTTCCAGCTGATATCCTTGCTCTTTTTTGTAAGACTTTCTAGCCTCCCTGTACGTATCCCACGTGGATTGCAGCCCATCCTTGATAGCCCGGTTGAATGCGCGCCTTGCCTTCTTTCGAAGGTCTTCAAGCACGTCACTCCACCACGGGACCTTTCGGCCCTTAGCCACCTTGGCCGGGCAAGCAATCTCGTAGGCTATGGCAATCGTACTATTTAGGTGGTTAACTTCCTTCTCTAACTGTTCTTTGGTGGTAATGTCCACAGGAGGTTCCCAAGTTTGACTTTTTAGATTGGTGAGATATTTCTCCCAATCTGTAGCCCTTGGATTCCTCCTTGGGTTAGGAGTGACCTTGTCGACATTTAACTCAAATCTGATCATCCTGTGATCAGACATCGTTATATCGTTAGTCACTCTCCAGTTAGAAACATCTTCATATACTGACCTTGATGCCAACGTTATGTCTATTACATTGAAGTTAGTACTTGACCGAGAAGTCCTCGTTTTCTTCTGAATCCATAGCCATGTTTGATTACGTGCATTTGTCGCGGAATATCTTCATATCGATGCTGTAGTTCAGAAATGTGGTTGTGACAATGTGACTCAGTTCCTAGGCTGGAGCTTAGCCAACAGATTGTCTGGTACTGGTTTATCGTGTCGCGGACAAGCTTGTCGTGTTGTGCTAACAAGGTCATGTTGATAGGGATGTCGATCCGGAGGGCTCCTCGGTTTAAGACAGCTTTCCCCAAGTGTTCAACATAGAGACCATGTGTTGGGTTCTTTATGGTGTAGTATGCACAGTTCGCTGGGAGAATCATGGTCATTAAGCATAGAAGCAGGAGGGCAGTGGTATTACTAGTTTTGCTTGATGGATTTCGTCTGGGTGATTCAGGTTCGATTGGGTCGTTGATTGGTAAGGGACATATCTTGACGATTGGTCTCTTAAACTTAGATCCATCTGGAGTTGAAATGGTTACAACTCTAGTTTTGTTGTCAGTCCCTGGATGAACCTCTGTGAGTCTAGCCAGTGGCCATTTTATTGGAGTAAGATGTTCATGTTTTACTAGGACGATGTCTCCAGTTTTTAGATTTGGTTCTGTTGTATACCATTTGTATCTTTGTTGAAGACGGTGTAAGTATTCCGATGACCATATCTTCCAGAAGTCACGTTTCATTCTTTGAAATAATCTCCATCTTGTCGAAATGGAAGCGTTTTCATCTAGATCCACCTGGTCTGGTTGAGTAACAAGTGAGCGTCCAATGAGTAGGTGACCTGGAGTTACGATTGTATTGTCATCTGGGTTGTTGTTGATTATGCATAATGGTCGGGAATTGAGGCATGCTTCGATTTGGCTCAAGACAGTTATCAATTCTTCAAATGTTGGAGTGTTTTCTCCCACAACTCTTTTAAGGTGGTGCTTGGTAGATTTGACACCGGCTTCCCATAATCCTCCGAAATGAAGTGCTGCCGGAGGCGAGAAATGCCAGGTGGTGCCCTCTACTGAAAGTGCTTGGTGAAATGGAGACTGCTTCATTGCCAGCCGAAGTTCTTTATCTAGAACGCCCTTAGCACCAACAAAATTAGTGCCATTATCGCTATAAATGTGTGCACAGTGACCTCGTCTTGCTTGGAACCTTCGTAGAGCGGCAAGAAACGCTTCTGTTGTCATGTCGCTTATTGCTTCTAGGTGCACAGCCTTTGTTGCCATGCATACAAATGCCCGTGTGAGAAAATGGAGGGGAAATATTGACCCTTTCTTCTGGTAGATTGCCCATCAATTGTTGTGAGGCCTTGGCTCTCGCTCGGAAACATTTCATGCATTTGTTTATACTGTATCGTATAAGTGGTCTAGCCCTTATGATCCAATATTTCTGTCGGACAAGAGCTAAGGTGAGCTGGTTTGTAACGTTTTTTGGTGGGCATCTTGAATGATATTCTTATTTAGACAATTAGAATTAAATTTAAACGTGGCAACGTGAATCTCATTATTAGTGTTTTGAATTACAATTTGATTATTTTTATTTAAAAAAAAGCAGCCTAGAAGTTTACTCCTTAGGTGTAAACTGTCTTTGTGCCGTTTGTTTGTATATTGTGAGTGATTTGAAGGATATTTTCAGTGAAGAACAATAAATTTTTAAGGTTAATTTGGATCTCACCTATTACACAGTTGCCGGATCTAACATTTTTTCCCCAATGTCGCTGTTTACTTGTAACTGCTGTAATAAAACAAATGAAGAGCATAAAATGGTTCAGTGCACTATGTGTAAAAAATACTTTATACATAGCTGCGTTGATCTTACTACGGCTGAGGTTAGATCAATAAAAACCAAACAAAACATCAACTGGACTTGCTCAAGATGTCCTGGAGTTGGTGAAAGCATTTCTGAACTAAAGTCCCTAATTCTAACCCTTCAAGAGGAAATTAAAACGCTCAGGTGTAACAATGAAACCAAATTAAAGTTTGAAGAAGTCATACAAGAGCTGACTGATCGCAACCGCCGAAAGAGTAATATTATGGTATATGGTTTAACAGAAGATAAGGAAAGCAGTAAGGATGAACAAAAAAGACTAGATCAAACTAAAATAAAAGAAGTGTTAAATTTCCTAGAGATTAATACTGATAATGTACAAATAAAGCCAATTAGACTCGGTAAGCCTGATGCTACAAGGACCACTGCAAGACCAGTTAAAGTCACCCTTGATGGTGAACAAACTGTTCTTAAAATTATTCGTAAAGCGCGTTTGCTAGCCAGCGCACCCCAATTTAAACATATTAAATTAGCAACGGACCGAACACCAAAACAGCAGCAATATTTTAAAGCTTTAAAACAGGAACTGGATATCAGGACTGAAAATGGAGAGGATAACCTTAGGATAAAATATATCCAAGGAGTACCAAAAATTGTAAAGTCGGAAAACTAGAACAGCCCAACAAAACCAGTGTCAGTGAAATAAAAGCTTATTACCAAAATGTTCGCGGTCTTAATACAAAAATTGACTCTTTTTATACTGGTATATCGGATAATGAATTCGAAATTATCGCTATAACAGAATCCTGGCTTCACGAAGATGTGAAATCGTGTGAACTATTTACTTCATCTTTCAATGTATTTAGAGGTGATAGAAATTTCGATGCTGTCAATGTAAGTAGAGGTGGAGGAGTTTTATTGGCTTGTAGAAATGAGTATCAAGCAACTGAATTAGACTTTAAAACTGTAAAAAATTGTGTTCCAACTATAGACATTGTCGGTTGCAAATTGGTTATCAATAATTTTATATGTTTTGTTATAGTTATCTATGTACCTCCCAATACCAGTACAGATGATTTTGAGCTATTTTTTGAATCACTTTGTTTTTGTGATTTTTTATATAACAAAAGTGTCTTAATTTTTGGAGATTTTAATGTTAATAGTTATAAAAATGAGAATGATTTAGATCCTAAAAAACTATCTCTTGTTAATTTTAAAAACTTTTTAGACTTAAATCAATTTAATTTAACCCTAAATGACCATAATGGATTGTTAGATCTAATATTTACAAATATTATTTGCGTGGTTAACCGATATGATTTTCCTTTTGTCAAAGTAGATCATTACCACCCTCCTCTTGAAGTTAAATTTCGAGCTAAAGTTTCCAAGTTAAAAAATTTTACAGTCTCCAACAACAAAAGATATAATTTTCGTAAAGCAAACTATATTGAACTTTATAACGACCTTAACATTACTGATTGGTCATTTTTGAATAATTTCCTGGATATTGACTACGCTTGTGATATGTTTTACCAGGTTCTTTCCAATATATTTGATAAACACGTTCCCCTAAGTATAAACAAGCATTCAAATTATCCTATTTGGTACAGCAAAGAGCTTATTAGGATGCTTCATAATAAAAAGAAAGCCCATGATAATTTTACGAAATATAATAGTGAACATTATTATCAATTATTTAAAAGTCTTAGGAGACAATGCAAAAATAAAATTAAATCTAATTATAATTGCTATATAAATAATATTCAACTTCAGTTAACTTCTGATCCTAAGTCTTTTTGGTCCTTTGTAAATGGCAAAAAGTCCATTAGCAGAATTCCTGGGACAATGCAGCTGGATGGTGTGGAATGTTCGGAACCACAATCTATTGTGGATATGTTTGCTAAATATTTTTCTAGTGTTTACACAGATTCTAATCCGAATATTATTGACAATGTTAACCCTTATTTCCCTCAATCTATGGTTACTATAAAGGCTATTACTGAACAAGATATTCTTGCATCCATTACCAAACTTAAGAACTCCTCTACAGCTGGATTCGATGGCGTGCCAAGCTTTCTTATAAAGGATTGTAAAAGTATTTTTACTTATCCTTTAATTATTTTATTTAATTTAATTTTAAAAACATCAAAATTCCCTACTGTTTGGAAGACTTCAAGAGTTTGCCCCATCTACAAGAGTGGGCCCAAGGAAAACATTAGCAACTATAGGCCAATTTCAATAATTTCAAATTTTTCAAAAGTTTTCGAATCTATTTTGTATAAGTATATATTTTCAAGCGTTAAACCTATTTTGTCATCCTATCAGCATGGGTTTTATGAAAAAAGAAGCACGTTATCGAATTTATCGGTTTTTACACAATATATTGCTGAAGCTATTGACAACAAGAAACAGGTAGATGTTATCTACACCGATTTTAAAAAAGCTTTTGACCAAATTGATCATTTTGTTTTAATTAATAAATTAAGGCGGATCGGTTTAAGTGATAATTTGATAACAATATTTGAATCATACCTCTTTGATAGAGTACAAGTGGTTTTTTACAATGGCTTTTACTCCAGATGCATTGGCCCTACCTCAGGAGTCCCTCAAGGATCTAATTTAGGACCCCTTTTATTTTTAATTTTCATAAATGACCTACCTGACAATATTGCCTGTGAAAAATTGCTTTTTGCTGATGATTTGAAGATTTTCGCAGTTGTTAATGACATTAATAGTTGTTCATTTTTACAAGGTGAAATTAATAGAATTGAAGAGTGGTGTAGGTCAAATCGGTTGAATCTAAATATCAGTAAATGTAAAGTTATGAGCTACACAACCAAACAAACTCCAATTTTGTTTAATTATAAGATTGATAACAGTACTTTGGACAGAGTTATTAATATGAGGGATTTGGGAGTTTTATTTGACACGAGCCTCTCATTTTCTTTTCATATTAATAATATATGTAAGGAATCTTTAAGAATGTTAGGCTTTATAATCAGAAATTCAACAAGTATTACAAGTTGTAAATGTCTTGGGGCTTTATATTGTTCTCTGGTTCGAACAAAATTGGAGTATTGTTCTTTAATATGGTCACCTATATATAATGTGTATATAAAGCAGTTGGAGGCAGTAAACCGCCGATTTCTTAAATATTTAAACCTTAAGGTTAATGGCTATTATCCACCTCAGGGATATGATCATTCTGTGCTCCTTGATAGATTTGGTTTTGCATCTCTGGAAACTAGAAGATTTAATATGTCGGTAACATTTTTATATAATCTTTTAAACAACGAAATTGATAGTGAGGAAACTTTAAACAAAATCTATTTTAATGTACCTAGAATTGAGTCACGCACAATGCGTACTTTTAAACTTAATGTCTGTAGAACCAACGTGCAATGTAAGGAACCAGTAAATGTAATGTGCACAAACTTTAACAAGTTAAATTCCCTGGTAGACATACATCACACGGCTCTTAATAACATTTTAGCTAAATCAAATGTTCAAAGATGACTAGTTAATAGGTTTGTTATTAACCTTAATGCTCTTTATCATAAGAATATTTTTATTATTAATTTTTTTGCAATTGTTTATATGTAGGATATGCATATTTTTTTTTTTATTCACTTTATACATTATTATTCATTCAAATTGTATTTATCAAATTTTCATGTCATATTTTATTTATATATTTGTCTTGTAACTGGTTTATAACTGTTGGGCAATAAAGTATTTATTTATTTATTTATTTATTTATTCATAAGAGTGGCTAAGGGCTCCATGTGGAATAATTATGGGATGCTTCTCGTTATATCCCAACTAGCAAAATAAATCCCTTAAAGAACTGAATTGTTTTATAACTATCGTCTAGAGCTGCAAAAAGAACATTTTTATTGTTTAATGCGTCTTAATACAATAATTTTATCGTAAAAACGACGAAATTCTAATACATTATTGTATATATATTCTTACAACTCGTGTTATAGAACCAAACTCATACACATTTTTTAACCATTGTATAACGTTTTATACAATCCCTTATAAAATTATTTTAAAAGAGTTGTATAAAAGTTATAATAGAGTTGTATACCTATTCTTATACTTGTAGTTTCAACGTTTTATGATAGTTGTAATAGAATTTGTATAAAAGTTGTATTGAAGCTCTATAAGATACATTAAAAAATTGTTTTTTTAAGCAGAAGTAAACACACTACACAATAAGTATAAAGTTATTTTATAATTATCCTATAACTACACCGATTAACTTCTTTATAGAAAGTTTATAAAATAAAATTATCGCAAGTTCTGCGTTATAACCCTATTGAAAATGCCATATAGAACCCATATTGAATCCGATAAGGAAACGTATCTGGTTCTATATGGTTTTATAGGTCCTATATGGAAAGTCCTGGTTTACATTACGGATTCTATATGGTTGAATATGGATTTCCATTTTAAAAATTTTCATATTCAACCATATAGGGAAACCTATCTGGAAATACATATAGAACAGAAACCAGATAAATCCATATACAACCATATACATGTCTTTATAAAGACATGTATATGGATGTATATGGATTTATCTGGTTTCTGTTCTATATGTATTTCCAGATAGGTTTCCCTATCTGGTTCTATAGTGTTTTTATCTGGTTCTATAATGTAATCTTCTATCTGGTTCTATAGTGAAATGCCTGTTTCAAATACCTATATTGAACCAGATAGAAACCATATAGAATCCAGATACGTGTTTTTTATATGGTTCTATATGGCATTTTCAATAGGGAATTTTATTACTTAAGTCTGTTTATACATTTAGTGTCTTATTACGCCAAAATAAGTTAAGTATTTTTTTAAAATGGAGTCGCAATGGAAAAAAATTAAGAAAAGTGGGCATTTTAAAAAAAATAAAAATAGGTTAGGTCACATGTAGATAAAGAAGGTACCGCTAAAAAGTGGATAAAACAGAACACAATTGTATAGTGCGGTACAATGCATACCACCCTGATGCATACCTTAAGCGATATTATTGTTCTATTGCGCAGTAGGCAAAGGCGTTATAGCCAATACGAAAAATGAACTTACAGGGTTGTTATTTTAGGCAGCAGTGTTACCTACAAATCCTTATTTGCATAAAAAAATGAAGGTAACGTCGTGCAGGATAAATAAAATTTTACTTGATGTACCTAACTGCACCAAAAATGAGTATTTTATTCTAAAAAAAAAACAAATAATTTGAAAAATACAGATAAAATCTGGCAACATCTCAAATGTCAGTTTCTTGCTTTACTTTTATAGCGCCTGTATTAAACAACTTTACAGAACCTAAATATCGTATAACGCACGCGACAGAGCAGATAAATTGTATAACGTTTTTATAAAGACAAAACCATTTTAT